CGAGATAGGAACTCTAAAAAGAGGTCAATGGGGAAGTTGACCACATTTCCTGCAGGGGTGTCAACTCAGCTAACAGAGGAAGTCATTAAAAAACAAATCTATCTGCGGTTACACAGCTGCAACGATGGTTAAAATCACAACTTTAACATTGTATTTCGAGAATATCATTAGATAATCATTTTCTAGTTGACCTTAATTGTATTTAAATGACTCCCTAAATTAATTTTTTGAGCTATGCAGAGCCTTTTAATAAAACTTAATGTTGGAAGAAATGTCTTTTAAATTCCACAAACTAATCCTAACAGAAGGTCATTTTTTAATTAGGGATGAACAACTTTTACATTTTTTAATTAATCGAGACTGCCATTGTTGGAGTATGGTACCATTATGGGCCTTGTGTCAGTAAACAAAAACAAATGTTCTGTTGAGTAACTGAACCAAATGGGCTACATTGCATCCATCCAAAATTGAACCATCAAATGTTGGAGAATATTCACAATCATCTGGATTTTAACAGTGTTTTTTTGTTTTTTTTAACTAATTGCTTTCTTTAAGACAACGCACAGGATGACACTGTGAATTCATAATCACAATGTTTAAGCTGACATGGAGGAAAAGGTTACCAACCATTTAATATCCGATGTGTAACTTTTACTGGTGTTTACAATAAAGCTTTGTAAAGCGCAAGAGACTGTTTCGCTGCAACATAATAAAATCACGAGACTAAATTTCTCATGAGTTTAATTTCCAGGGGGCTGGAGTTCCTTGCTAATCAGCATCCAATATTCTCATCACACTCTCAAAGTTTCTGTCTGAAACTGAAAAATAAACCATTGAAGTTACTTTCCAGTATGTTAACAACAAAACTGGTGAAATTCAGAAGACATATTTGTTGTAGTATGATCTTGTCACTTTGTTTGTTTTTTTGTTTTTTCAAAAGCTAGACTTGTTATACCACCTGTAATCATAGATAAACTGGTCAGCTGATTAATCAGGACAATTATCTGGTATTATGAGATACAATTTATGGTACAATGTCTGTGCTCATGAGGCCGATACACAAAAAATGTCTGCAGACAGCCTTGTCAGTGTGGCTGCTAGCATTAAATATATATTATATATTGATTTTATTAAATTCTACTGGCATTGGAATAAAGTGGTTCTGCACAACAGATTTGTGTTATCATCGGACTGTTGGCTTGAGTCCTTTTGTACTGTGTAGCAAACTTGAAAAATACTTTGATTGAGCCACTTAAAGGTTCCCTGAGGAGTTTTTGTCCCCTACTAGTCGGGAGTAGTTTCTCTTTATGAGTAGGGCCCCATTTTGTTTATGTCGTGCACATGCACAAGAGGGTGACGCAGGACAATGGTTGAACATTATTCCGCTGATCAACAGGTGGCGGTAACACCCAAAATATTTTGCAATGTGACAACAAAGACAGGGAGAAGACTGCTAGCTAGTAAACAATGCTGGATTTAAAATACTAAAAAAAAATAGCCTTTGCAAATGTTTCACACTTATTTCTAGTGGTAGATGGACATGCAAATTTACGCATTGAATCTGCCACCTCAGTACTATGGAGGTAAAGTAATTTCACTTTCCAACAACAACAACAACAACTACTTGGTCAGCGCCTTGAAAAATCAGAAAGTTGCTAGTGTAGCAGAAGAGGTAACACAGACCCAACCAACTAGGAGTTGGGATAAGCTACCCCTGATCTCCTGTTAAGCCCAATAAATCTGTTAAAGCTACACTAAAGTGCTGCAGAGTTTTCTTAATATATTTCAGAGGGCACAGGGAATTTGACTTTGTCTTGCCTATTTTTTTGGCTTGTATATTCTGTTATGTTTTTAATTTCAACAGCACATTTTTTACCTGTGATTTCCTCAACAATATTCATTTTGGTGATGCAGATTTGTTTTTCCATGGACTAATCACCAAGAGGAAATTCATAGTTTTCACACTGGCATCAGGACCTCATATCCTCAGTTCCTACAGTTGCAGATGTTTAATGGTGCCAGATGCACATTTGGTGCAACCTTTTGGTCAATCTAACTCAAGACAATAGATTTTAAAAGGCCACCTAATATAAAAGTACAAAACTATGGTTATGTTTAAAGCTGTACCTAAGTGGGAGAGACAGGGCTGTAATCTTTTCAAAAAAGCCATGACTGAGTGCATAACATATTTCTTTGTAATGCTAATTCTGGTCAGTCTTAAGGGGACTGACAGTGCCAAAAAATTATACTGTATATTTTTGACACCTGCCTTTGAGATGGTTGACAGATCAAAAGGGAGCATCAGAGCTGTGGTCCTAATTCAGAAACTGTACCCTTTTTCATCAAATGGGAATGGTTTGTTTTTTTCCATTTGACTTTATTTCTTGCCTGGCAAAGTGGTTGCAATTTTAGAGGAGGGTGGTCGAATACGCCAGGTAGATTTTTAAGACCGGGGCCTTCAAGATGGACCACTGAAAACACCAGGAAAGTTATTTCAGTACCCTACTGTTCTATCCCTGCAAAGACTGATATGTTGTTCTTTTTTTCAGTAATACAAACTAAAACTAAATGAAACCGAAAAGACCACATCTAAAATTCATTAGGGTATCGTTAGAGGATTGGCTGTTTAACGGACTGCCAGGCCCCCCATATGAAAAATCATCTCCAAAATAATTTATTTAAATAAAAGAGTGGTGTCTGTGCATTGAAATCCCAGAGTTAATAACTGTCAACACATTAAACGATGAAAATGCTCATCAAGGCTTCTGTATATAATGAAAAAATAACACAGGACAACCACAACGCGTATCAGGTGTTTTGTGTTACAGCCCCGGAGCAGCGATGATTTTATGATTTGTTTTTGTTTTTTTTGTTATTAACACACTAATCACGAAAAGTTGTCAGGGCTGGGAGAGGTTGGCTCTTTATTAGGTGGATAAATCAGAATATATATTTGATGGGAATCTGTGATCAAACCGCACAGATGCCTAGAAATACCAGGCCAAGGGATGTTTATCCCACCTTAACTTTGTTGCGTGGGTGTTAAATGGTCGTGCTTGTGTCAGAGGAAAACCGACACTTCAGTTCATATGACATAACACCTAACGAGACTGTCTGCCATATTTCTACATGAATAAAGTGCAGCACACTTATCTTGTAATAACAATACTCACCCTCAGAGCTGCGAGGTCGATGTCATCCAGGCTTCGTGTGGGGGCGTTTTCAGACATAGCTGGTGAAACTTAGAACGGTAGCTAACAAGTTAGCCACTTATTTAAAGAGAAGTACTTGGGGAGGGGATACAAGTGGCAGCAGAAACGAGCTTTAAATGGCTTACCTACAGAGAAAATATAGCTAGCGGGGTGTCTAATATGCTGAAACTGTTGCGGAACAACACGGTAGCACTTACATTAGCAAACACACCGCAGATAGAGCTGCCACAGACGCACCCAGCTGGCTAGCTCACGTCAACTCTGGCCGAGAGCTATGTTATCCGCAGTTGTTTTACAGAAACACCGGTCGCAATATCTGACCAAAACACATTCAACTCAAAATAAAAGATTTCAACAAACTGTTAACGTCACCGTTAGCCGGCCATCGGGACCGTTTCAACAACTGGCAGGTTTTCAATGCGATGCACCTCCACTGTTGTTGAACACCTTGCTGCGTTCATTTCGACCAGACTCCGCGTCTTTGCTGCTCTACAACATCCCGACTAATGTTACACATGATAAAACGATCCGTGTCGTGAGGGGAGAAACTACCACATATGTCTGGTGTGCCGCTGAAAACACTCGTTGTTACACTGATAAAGTATAAGATAACATTTACGGCGTAGCAACGAAATGGTTGTTTTTGAGGAGAACGCAACGTCTGATGTGATGGCGTCCGGGTCCGTCCGGGTCCGTCCGCACCGCACCAGAACCGACCGTCAGCCTGTCATTATGTGCCTTAAATGGAGGACTTCTCTGGATATTACTGTGCGATAAGGGCGGAAAATGAAAATAAAGGCTGACGACTGCAGCTGTCAAAGAAGTTAACCCGACTTAATTCCCCAATTTCGACCGGAGCGCGCGGTAATCTGAATACCGAGTCAGGTGCGCGCGATCAATCGATCGTTAACGGGCTAGCTAACGTAGCTACGCTAGGAGGCTAAATAGTCATTTCCAGAATAAACTTTCCGTCTTCATCCATTTTCTGTGTTGACAGTCGCGCCTAGCACTGCCAACCTTCCGGGGAAAACACAGGCAGGCAGACAGACAGGCAGGCACTGTTCTCGCCAGCCACCGTAATACTTGTAAGCTGGGGCCCTCGACTATTTAAAGTTAAACGTTGCTGTCGTTCTCCAGCGTCCAGTTTTTATGAACTTGAAGTTGTAGTCCAACACTACAGATAAACAGATACGGTGCAAACTGCAGCGAACAGCCAAACTTGTTATTTCGCCATGTTTTGCTTCCCAAGTCGTCCCTCCCACTCCCAGCCTTGTTGTAGTCTTGCGGGGTTGTACTGACGATTGGCTGCACATAACACTCCTCAAGTGTTTTCGCCTCTTGGATCGCTACGGTGCTTCATCAGGGACAAATTACCTGAAAATTATAGTGGACCTCAACCTGCGCAAATGCCTCTGTCTGCTTTGAGCCGCACAGCTCAGGTCATCCACTGACATACCTGTCCTGCATTGACCTACATGGTGAACACATCCCATAAATAAGTTAAATTAAAGTTCAATTGGGTTGTATGTACAGTGACTTTCCTAGTGTGTCTTTTATCATTAGGAACTGCAGTGAACTCATCTCACTGTAGTTTGGTTCTTGGTTTTGCTCAGTTGTGCATGCAGTCCCACAGCTTTATGATTGCTTTAGTTATTTTTCCATTAAGGCGGGCCTACCTTATCTTCAACAGATCATAATGCATGTCAATAATGCATGATTCACTTCCAAAGCTCAAGAAGACAATCTGGTATGTCATAAAAAAATAAACTGACTATTATCATGCAGTAATCTGGGGGTTACTTAAAATTTAATTTTGAGTTAAACTGTGCCAATGTCCTGTTAACATGTCAGTCTCTAATGTACTCTATGAAAACACACAATTTGATCTAAGCATATACAGACAGCAAAGCATATAAACCTCACCACTTAGTAAAATATCGCCAATGTCACTAGGTGATAACAGTAGCTTCTGGTTGTGTCTGTCATGAATAATAGATAATAGTTAATAATAGATATGCCAACATATCCTTATTTTCATATTTAAATGTTACATTATCTTTGTATATGTTTATAAATGTACCTACATTTATTAAAAGTACACAATTGACTGTATATTCAAATATAAAAACAGTACATGGGAAGTTTTTGATTTGAATAACAATTTTTAAATCAAAGTAAAATAGATATACAGTTAGAAACTCTATAAAAAAAAACAAGGAAAGTTACATGCCTTACAGTTGTTCATAACTGTACTGAAGCAATTGAGTAAGAATATTTACTATCTCTTTACCCCTGAGTGTTAGTAACCTATACATTGGCAACTTTAAGATAATGACCTAGATCTACAGATTACACATCTGCCTGTTTGGGATAACAGGGAGTTAAAAATACAAGTTTATATTGGTATTATATACATAACAATGTATTGGTAATGCCGGCTTTTAGCCCAATAAAAACATAATTCATGATAGAAACAGTATAAGGTCACTTCTCAGCACATCAGATATTTCTGAGTAATTTTCAAACAAAGAATATCACTCAAGGCAGACATTTTGTGCAGTATAAGAATAGATAGAAAATACCCAGCTTCTAGCGTGCAAGGGCTCATAGTGGCTTTAATATCTCCTAAAGAAAAAGTGTGAATAGTTATGACGACGGCAGTGCACCAACACAGATGGTTTTACCAGGTCCTCTGTGAAGGTGCCTCACACAGAGCAAGGCTGCGTTCACGTGGGACTCTTGTCATCTGTCACATTCACAGACAAGTCTGCACTGAAACCACCTCAGTAGTGTTGTTGACTTGTGGGCATGTCTGGGAAAGCTCAAGAAACAAGTCTGTACAAATTCACTGGCTCTGTCACAGGTACATCAAGGTTTCACTTTTGGGAATTATGAACTGGATTATGGTAATGTCATGTACAATGCATCACTCTAAGTCATCTGTTGACATAGATGCATCAAGGCCAAGAAAGCCTATTCACAAGCTCCATATGCTGCCCATTGTCTGCTGGTTGTTCTCTAAAACTCTTAAAACTTTGAGAGGATAATTTACAGAGGCACTGGTAAAACTTGGCAAGACTGTGTGCCACACAGGATTGTGTGATTGTATGTGACCCTCAAACACATACAAATCTGTTCAATCTCAGGTTACAGAACTTCCTTATATTCAAACTCCAAACCCCACTGCATAAAAATAGCAACATACTTAGTCCTGTTTTTCTACATGAAGATTGCAGCGTCTACAGTGTGATCTGTTGAATTATTACATATTTCCAAATCAGTAGTTGCCTGTCTACATTCACCACTGATGCTACGTATCTGCCCAATGCCAGACTTGTCCAGATTGCTCGATAGTACTCACACAGTTCCTCATGGCTCAGTAAAGGGAGATAGCAGTTAGTTTGGAGTTGGCTTAAGATTAGAAATATGACTTGATAATGCTCCAGCAGCATGAATGAAAGCCACATTATGTCACTACTCAGTTACAGTGTTAAGGCTAAATGTAATCAATTATCATTGGGTAGATTTATAGCACCGGGACACAGAACTGTGGAACCAATATGGAAATACCTAAAAAATGAAATGCAATGGTCAAACTATCCATGTCTCTGCTTTCTCAAAGCCAAGCAGATAGGGGAATGTTCTGTTCTCGACTGCTGACAACATGGTTAAAAAATAATTCACTTGGTTGTCATGGTAACTATAAAAAAAGCAACAATTAACGGTAAATCAACACCCTCTAATTATCTTGTCCTCCCCCCCCCCACAGTTTTCCCACCTGATCATTTATCCAAAACTATTAAAATGACTTTGCTTCCGTCAGTCCTCACTCAACATGTTAGCTACTATTTTCCGATACAGCATCCTGATTTAGTAAGTTATCCCTCTTATCAGTACTGTCCCTTTTCTGCTCTATCCAGTCTTTATTTCAGCTACCATCCAGTCATCTCTTTATATCCGTCACCATAACAACCACAAATGTTCTGACAGATTTGCTGGCACTGCAGTGAGAGGTGAAGCCTCAGAGGGAGAGAGTGAGAGTGAGCGTGAGAGAGAAAGAGAGAGAGCCACCCACCCACCCAAAAACCTTGCACCAATAACTGTACACTATGTTCCCAGATCATGTGAGATGCTTGATTTGCAATACAACCTTGCAATCCTCTCCTGACTCGTACATTCATTTATGTGTTCTGCAGACATCATGAACAAGCTGGCCGGTAGATTTCAGTGGTTATGTCCACACGAGCCCATCATCATTCAAAAATACAATACGATAAAAAAACATCAATGATGAACAAGTAAATTGTGCTAAAGTAATGTGTTCTCCTCACCATGGAAGTGCCAGTGCTGTAACTACTTTAGTGTACTGTGCTGAACACTAGCTGGAACTACAAGGAGGAGGAGAATGTGGTGCAGCAGTCGTTGTTGCCATTATGTAGTGGTCTGATCTGGGCTGAGCTGTGGTTATGTCCAAAGCCCTATAGGAGCCATGCCTTCCTTAGTGCCCAGTGGGGGCAGCAGGTTTTCCTCACACAGGAACTTCAGGGGGAAGCGGACCAGCAGCCCTCGGACAGCTTTCAGCTCCTCTCTGGTCTGCTCAGGGTCTGTGTCGAAGAGGCGTTCCTCGCTGGAGTAGTCCTTCAGCTCTCGCATGTTGTGGACAGTGTTGCAGGGCAGACATTTGAAGACCTGTATCACAGCAGGGCCATAGCACAGACAAAGCCCACAACAACAAAGGAGAGGTAAGAAAACTGCACGTTGGAGTAAATAGGTCTTAAATGTCCTGGTTTAGGATAGGATTGTCTTATTACCTTATCATAAATGGTGGCATTCTGTTTAGCAGCAGCATTCCAGGCCAAGAAGAAGAAATCATCACTGATTGGATCATCAATATTGATACTGGGGTCCGAAGAAGCTCCAACAAGAACACTGGAAGCAAAAATAAATAACAAGCGCATTCAAACAACACAAAGGTTTCTCACTTGTTGCCAGTTAGGATTTGGTAGCTGACACTTCCCAGTACATAGAAAACCATCTGTAGTAACCAATCATGGTCATACATTAAGAGAATGTCATTTCAGGAGCATATTTTGTCCTGACCTGAAACACTCTTTGCGCAGAGCGAGTGTGAGGGGTCCTGCCTGGTACTCCTCCCCTCCCATGACGGATGGGACCCGCTCTTCATCTTCCACAAACACTGCCAGCTCGCTGTCTCTACAGCCCAGCATGCTGCGGTCATTGATGTTGGCTGATCCTGGAACACATGTGGAAAGTACAAGCGTTCACAATCTGTCTTTTCGAAGTCATCATTCTTGTCAAAACAGTTTTTAATGCATAAAGCAACTATCAGAATGAAATAACCAATTATATCAGATGTATTTTTCAGAATGAATGCTGCTTTGCTGTTCAGTGCATTCAGTACTGAGGTAGGATTAAGGATTTAAAATGAGAGGTTAGGTATACTCTATGTGATGAAATATGCCCATGGTCAGTTGTGAAGTAAGTGCACAACAGTCCCAACTGCATTTCACTAGCTAATTTGGTCACAAATACATTGCTTTTCCTGTGAATGCTTTACAATAATGGCACCCTACGTTTTGCTGGACTATGTGCATGCATAATTTCCTGTGAATCCCTTGTGCACATGTATTTGAATCCAGTATGGGAATAACAGACTCCGCCACTAAGAGTGAAAACTATTGTGTAGTGAGGTAATTAGAGAATCTGAATATATTGAATTAATGAAATATCACAACCATAATAAGTATCAAAGATGGGGTTTGCTTTTATGAAATAGCTATTTATGGTTAATACTTACTTAATTCTCCACACTCCACCAAAAAAAGTTTATTTTTATTATATATCTATTTATCCATATATATCATCTTTGTTTTGTGTGTAGCAGCTTGCATGTTGTTTAATCTTGAACCTTGAAATTAATGACAGAATCTCTAAATAAGATTCTTGTTATTTGTGCAGCTTTTCAATATTCATGCTGTACGCTGTCCTTCATTACTCAGTCTTGCTAAACCCAAGCCCCTGTGCTGTGGTACACCCTACTTAAGGAGATTACACTTTCAAATGTCATCCTCTTGATTATTCATTATTATTACAGATAAATGTCTATATATTTGTTCACTTGCATTTGACCGTGGTTATATTTGTTTTGAATGGGGCTATTAAACTACAGCTAAAATGTACTGATGAGAATACACTGTAATTTCATACCATCATTAAAAGCCTAGAATACATTAAAATACACTACTTATGGAAGGAGATTCGCTATTTTGTCATGGAGCTCAATGATGACTCAAGGTGACTCACCAATGATATAGCAGCGGTCATCAGCAATGAGGGTCTTGCTGTGAACATAGATGAGCTCTGTGACAAACGACTGGGAGAGCTGGGAATGCGTTCTCAGGCCGCAGAGTGTGATGTACTCAGTCCACTGGTCCTCAACTGGGGGGGCAAACCAGAATCAAATTATTACAGATTTATTAAGAATATCAGATAGACATTGACTAAAATGGATGTGAAAAGAAGATTAAGAAGTCAAGGATGAAAATAGAGACTTGTGGGCAGATACCTAGAACCAGTAGCTTCAGATTAAAGGAGCCACAAGAGGAGAAAGAAAGACAGAGATGTTAGAGAGGAAACAGGAGGTGTTTTGGGATGTCAGGTGGATTTTGTGGTTGAAATAAAAGCAGATGCTGAAAACTCACTTTCACTAAGTCTTGACAAGATGGAGTGCTCCCCTCGGCACATGGTCCTAGGATATTAAACATCCATTAAAATTAAAAATTAATGAAAAAGTTATATTGGTAAACAGAATGTACAAAGTGACATTACACAAAAGACTTGGAGATCTGATGGATGAATGCAAAGACCTTTCTAATACTTTCACAGTAACAACAAGCTTACTATGCTTGTGATGCATTATCACTTAATACAGCTTTAATTTGATAAGTCACTCAGTTATGACGAAAAAACAACACTTTCCAGTTATGCTTTAGGTTGATTGAAACCCCTGCCTTGTGCTATTAAAACAAATTAAATTACACAAAATTAAATGATCTTATCCACTTTTATAAAAAAAAACTAAAAATCTTTAACTGGATAAATAATTACTTCTGTAATGCACAACAGTCAACAACTGTCTCAATTCAATTTGAGCAAAACACCCACTTTAGCACATAAATATTTAAGTATATTAGACCAATTAGAACAAACTGTTATCCAAATGGATAAACGGTCTATGAAAAGTTCTCAAGGACACAAAACCTGTGATCTAAATAATTTTAGCACAAACAATCAGTGACAGAGCTGAAGTAAATCTATCTTAGCTACAACTCTAGAAGATTGGAAACGTGTCTTTGAGCCAGATGAAAGTTCAGAGGTCGGGTTTTTCCTGTGGTTGTTGTAGGTTGTAGTGCTTGTTATGGTCTGTGGGCTGTCGGTAGAATGGTAATGGGAGGGAAAGGCTCTCACCTGTAAGTGAAGTGCAGAATAGCTTGGATGGCATTGCCACCTCCTGCACTGATGTCTCCCTCAAATCCAGGAAGCAGAGGAACCACCACAAACACCCTGTACTTCTTCTGCTCTCTGCAATAAGACATAATGTCAACATCTACGTTGTCACTCACCTATTCTGTTTTATGATTTATTGTGTAACACAGGTAACATCTCAAGTAATTCACTGATATTTTCTGCTTAAAGATAATAAGATAAAATTATGTTTGTTCTTTGTTTAAGATGTTTGACTCCACTTTGAGCACAGACTTCATGAAAAGCTGCTTCATGACTTCAAGCTTCAAGAATGTATGTGCACAAAATGAATAAAGCGTCACATAAATCTGACTTGTACACTCAAACGAGACCTGTGTGCTCGCAAGATTCGATCCACAATGGCATCGCCGATCCTATTATGGACAGTCTTCTCATCGGCACAGCTGATGAAGAACTGGTTCTGAGGGCAGAGAGAAGGCAGATGGTGGCTCGGTGTGAGGTGAGGGCTAAAACAGACAGGTAGCTGGCAAGGAAGGGGCCGAGCTGTGATTGCATTCAGACTCATGAAACCTTGTGATTAGGCACACGTTGGCTGCACAATCTCTCAGTGAAATGTGAAATTAATATGTCAAATGGTGTGTAAGTAAGAATCGCGTGCTGAAATGTCAGAAATATAGAGAGGCCAAAGTATAAAATTTTAATTAAACAAAATATAACTCTTTCTTAGGTGTTGCTACTTAAACAATTTGAGGTTACACATTTTTTGCCATGTCTGCCTTTCACTGTCTTACTGCCATTACAAGGAAGACTTTGGGAGCCTAACACACAGCAAGTTTAAACGATTTCAGCAGGATTTGTCTGTTTGAATGTAGAGATGTCAAATCAATTATTAAAAAGCACAGACAGACATTCTAACTATGTTCAGCCTACGCTATGAAGTACATGTTTGTCTGTAAGTATACGGGGGGTTGCGACATTACCTCGATGTAGATGTAGTGCTCGCTGTTGTTGATGGTCTGGATGTAGGCGTTGAGGATCGAGTTCTCACAGGTTCCAGTAGACCAACGATCAGCAGAGCGCAACACCTGAAAAAGAAAAGCATGTTTAGGCTGAATCATGTCACCAGATTTTGAAGGAAATATATAAAGATTTTCCTTTACTACACTGATTTCTGTCACAGTTACAGTTTTGTTAAGTGTTTCTTAACGTAAATCATGGCTAAATAAGCAAAGCTCATTGAATTAATGTATGTTTTATTTGCCTTACACACTATATTAACTTGCTGTCACCAAATAAACTTATATACTTGCAACACAGAAGAACACAATTAATACCACTTCATATAAATACAGTATTTTTAAAGTACTTTTTAAAACTTCAGCTTCAGAAATCTGAAACTGCTGCCATAATTTTTCCAGTGATTTAAATTGGTGTACTCGGTTGCTTGCATGAACTTCTACTTCACTTACAGGAACACTCTGTATGCTCGACAGCTCTAACACAGAATGTGGCGACTGAGCCACTGTCCCTGAAACCTGAATAAAGGATCAACAAAACCCGATAGGAAAGCTATGGCATAATAGGGAGCAGGGGTTAGGGTTACAGGCCACAACCCACAATAGATTAAGATAATACGCACAGCAAAAGCTATTGTTGCCCAACCCCTACTGTTTGAACACTTCAAAACCATAGCATATGATGTTGAATGAGAGTGGACCACATTTCCCATGAAGCCTGTTGTAAATAAGATGCTTCCACTTGTCTTCCCTCCCCATCTTTGGCAGTGCATTTGTTTTCTCTGGCTTTACTAAACAGGATAAACATTTTGGAAGTGAGTTTTTCTCTACAGGCTTTACTCTTGTTCCACCATCTGCCTTCGCAAAAAGCTCTGAATACTTCAGCTGCACTTCTAAAGCCAGAACAGTGTCTCTTTGTTGTACTGCAAAGAAATCCATCTGATTTCCTGCTAGAACTGACTTGCAGTCACACAATGTAATGCCAAATAGAAGCCAGTATGGGCCTTAACTCTTCTTGGCCTTTTTTGTTTACAATTACATTTCTCTAAATTCTTTAAATTAATATTGAGATGGCCAGCAGCATGGTTTCTTTTATAAACTCAAAATGTGTGAATTTACTGTGTTTCTAACTTATGTTACTGTCTTCAAATGAGAAATCCAACCCAGATCTTGTCCTGATGAAGGGCATCTTTAAAGCTACAGGAATACTGTGGTAGTGTTGTCATCGTGTGTGTTTTTCTGTGCAGGACACTCTGGTTTTTGGATGGCTCTAGTGTGAAACCTGTCTCTGGTGTTCTTTTCGGTGTTTGGTAAACTTGTTTCACAACTGGTCGCTGTTCTTTGGCAGAGCTGCCACCCACGGTGAATAGAAAGAAAGTCTGATTTATCTGGAACACTAACATCACGTGGGAACAGTTTTTTTAAGAGACTCTACGCATGTGTGAAGTCTAAAAAGCACTACATTAGCCAAATAAATGCACCTGGCAGTGTTGTGAGTTTCATGTACGAGGGGGGAATAAAAATGCACCGTGACAAGAAAAGTACTGTAACTTACAACCACCACAACCAGTTGATATATATGTTCCACAGGTCACTGACTTTCATTTGTGCTAAAATGATATGGATCACAAAGATTTCATGTCCTCAAATACTTTTCATAAACTGTACATTTTTATCTTGTAGTTCAAAACGTGTAGCCAATGTAAGAGTCCTAATAGACCTATATATGAATTTATTTATTTAAGATCTTAAAAATTAGAAACAGCAACTTAATAAAATAATAATAATAATAATACTCTATCTTGTTCTAGGGGAAATGTTATATAGCACGAATGATTTTCCATCACATACCCATTTTTTCTGTTTACCTAATGACATCAAACACAACTTTTACACAGCTGTTGGACACATAGTGTCTTGGTCTTTGGTGAACGTGTGCGCTTAAATACCTGCACTTTGGCTTTTGTGGACCCAGGCACAGTGAATGAGAGTGAGTCAGCAGTACAGTGAGATTTGGGGAGAAGGTAAGGGTAGAACTCGTCCTTGTACTTGTTTTTGAAGATCTGGAAAAGACAAAACAGATACATGAACGCCTGATTCCTGACCTTCCTGTTAGTCATGTTTCCTACAGAAGTCTTATATAAATATTACAAATTTAGCTCTATGTGATGACTTTAAATAAATATGAACTTTTTTTTACTTTCTTTACACCTCCAAATAACTGCTTTGGATAGTTATAGTATAACATGTGTTAAAGCCATCTGAAGCTTGTTTATCCGTAGACTGATAACAGCAGAGCAGCCTCTCTAAAATGATGAGGATGTTTTCAAAACTATGACAATAAAAGCCAAGTAGCTTTAGAAAGATAGAACTTTCCTTTGAGTCTGACCTTGGTGAAGTTCCAGCGCTGGATGAAGTGGCGGGCTACATCCCTGGCAGCCTTACCATGAATAGCTGCAGACAGATCACGCCACGGCATGCGAGGAACTTGAGTACGGTCGATGTTATCTGGAAAAATATAAAAAGCAATTCAGCTCCCTGTACAGAGCCTATCAGTGAATTTGCATGTGTGTATGCGTGTGTGTGACTAAAGGAGATATTGATAACATACCTTCGAACGGTTTGTCTAGTTGGACCCAGTCTTTCCTGATAAAGTTGCTATAGTCTTTGCCAAGCCACAGTTTGGTGTTGCCAGTCAGATCACCGGGGTCTTGCTCTGCTTGCTTATCTGGTTCAATTGGCTGGAGACCATCAGCCACACCATTATCCTGGTAAACAAAGGCATCCGTTAGTGCCTGCATGGAGTGTGACATACTGAATGCTCACTTGTTCATGAACTACTACAAACATATTCATGCTTCATCAGTGGCAAGATAAAAAGACAGTTTCAACACGTTCTTACTCCAGTATCTCCTTTGGGCTTCCCATCGGTCACACTGTTGGCTCTCTCTGTCATACCCAGGTCAGTTAGCCGGTACTGGCTGTCATCCCACCTCCCAAAAGCCAGGTCAAGCCCCCCCACAAAGGCTACTGTTTGGTCAATGGCCACCATCTTTTCATGGTGAGCCCACAGGAACACCACAGACGACACATGGTCAGGGTGTCGCATTACCTGAGGGGGGTTAAAATTGACATTAAAACATGAAATAAGATAAAAAAAGTAAAAAAAAAAAAAAAAAAAAAAAAAACGTGAGATAAGGCCTCTGTTCATTGTGTAGCCATTTCCTGTACATCATATTATGTGGAGATGTGACTGACCTTGATGTTTGGGTGCATATTCATAAGAGTCCTCTTGCTGTGCTCACTATTGATGCCGAGTGCCATCTCCACCTCTTTGTAGAGAAGAACGCACACTTTAACTCCTTGTTCCTGCAAAAAAAGGGAGAGAGGTTCAAAGAGAGGTGATGCCATTTGAAAAATTATCAGCAAGGGTAATGTGAAATTAGAAAATCATTCAAATTGTAAGTGATTTAAAAGTGAAGAACAAGACAAAAAGAATCCCTACTGCTTTGCGTTTGAGTATCTCATCCAGGCGCCAGTAGTTATCAGTTGCTGGTCTCTTTAGGAACACTTCAGGGCTGAGCCTGAGAGAGAAGACACATATTTTACTATTTTCACATTATTCACATTAGAAATGCACTTACGTAGCTGAACTATTTCAACGGTGCACCTCTTTATTTGGTAAAACAAAGCCTCTTCAATACTTACCACCAATCTGTGATGTAGATTTCCTCCTTGGCTTGCTCGAGAGCATCAGCCAGGTCTGCAAAGTACCCACTTCCATTCACATACCTTCAAACGACAAGCATGAACCATAAAAAAATTAACAAATGAGGACGAAATCTGAAGACAGAAAGCTGTAAATCTCTGTGTATCTAACCATTTAGTGAGTGTGTTCTCCCGTGGCGGAGCGAATCCTTCGAATCGTTGCACTTTGAGAAAGTCAGAGCTTTCTGCCAGCCCGTTGATTTCATGACTCCACCAATGAGCCTGTCTGTAGCTGCTGCATTTGATGATCAGACTCCTGAACAAGAACAAACAAGCCATGCATGTATCATAAACACAATATAACCCTATATATAAATACATGCAATACATTGGAGCTATCAATGCATAGGCAAACCCACAGCTGACCTACCGAGTGAAGTTCTCAAAGCAGACTCCATATTTGGTGTCTGTGTAAGCACGGCCCACTTTCACTTTGAACTCTGGGTCAAACAGCAGCACAAAGTTGATGCTGCCGTTGTCTCTGTCCATATACATCAGGAAGGAATCTTTCACCACCAGCCAGCGCCGTGACCAGCGGAAACAGAACTGATGATGGCCAATGCAGTTCAGCCCTTGGATCCGGTGGCCCCCGGACCTCTTGTAGATGGGTCCCTCCCTGAGAGAAGATGACACATGTTGCACAATAAATCTCTATCAAGTCATGTATGCCACTTTTTCTCTTCTATCACTCTAACTCAAGAAGTTTGCTTACAAGCCTTTGGGTCCAAGATCAGTGACGAAGGAGAGAGCACCGACAGAGAGGAATTCCAGCTGAAAGAAAAGTAGATGAGAAAATGACAACATTACAACCACTTTGTACTGTATGTGTGTGCTGTATGTGTATATTTGTTTTAAAGCTACTACCATGCTGTGATCATTCCTACAAAATACGTTCTCCAGCAGGCCATTCAGGTACTCCTCAAGGTATTTCTGCCACAGAAAAGCAGAACGTACATAAAATGTATACAATTTTGAAACACAACTCGACACACAGCAGCCAGAGAGTGACAAAGTCTTGTGCAAGTGAGACAATAGATGAATTTTATTAAATTGTCATTGTGGATCATGTACTATATGAATGTATCTGCTTGATTTGTTTGATACCATCTTGCTGGAAGTCCTTCTGGTCCTTTCAGTCCCGTGTAGGCTGGGCATTTCCTCTGACATAGCTCTCATCTGCTGCCTGTCCTTTGCAAACCTTTGAGAGAAATTTGAATATTCAAAATATTGAATTCTGATTATAAAAACTCTAAGCAGCCCATCACTTGAAGAAGTGAGATGAGTTTATTTGCATGATTAAGACAAACAGATTGGTGCACAGACTTTCCCAGAGGCAGCAAATGAAGCATCATCCTGTGCTTGTAAAGGTCCCGATGTAGCTCCTGGAAGTGCTTGTACTTTCTCTTCACTGTCCAGTGAAAGTGGCCATGAGTCAGCCGTACTGTGTACAGCGTGCCTACATGGACCTGGAGGGACATTATAGAAATGATGGACATAAGAATGATGGTTAAAAATGTCTAAAAATCTAATACCAAACGACATTCACAGAATTTTAAATTACTAGGGGGTTACTGGGTTTGGATTAGGAGTTCTGACCTGGGTCTTATTTTCATAACTCTTTATTTTCCTTCTTATCAGTTGTGGTCACATTTCCCTCACAGATTTTGTTGCTGAGCACTGGGCGACACAGGGCCACAGTTTTACCTCAATAACCAATCAGGCAAGAGATTAGAAAGCCACTTATTTGAGAGTTAAAAATGAAAGTTAACACACAAGTGTCAATTCTAGTTGTCCATTGCCCTGTAAAACTGCATAAGGTAAGTTTAGCAGATCAGGGCTGAACCAGGAGGTAGTTCTTCCTGATCTAATGGACACTGAACATAATCTTAACTAGGGACTGTTTTAAGTTTCCAATGTTCTTGAGATGCATGTCTTTGGACCGGACTTGGTAGTAGGAAATATCTGAAAGAGTGATTTAAGTTAAATGTGTCATCTAGAGTTTTCTATAAACGCTATAATCATTTTAACAACCAAAAGAGAAAATGTAAATATATTTCCATATAAAATAAAAAAACAATTAACAGATGTACCTTTGAGCGAGTAGTGTATTTCTCAGTGTTGTCCACTCTGCATGTAATAGGGATACCAGGCATCAGGTAAGGTACACCCTCCTCTTTTACTTCATGAAGATGATGCACCACAAGGAATGGACGACCCTCTGTGATTTGAAAGATTAGCACATTTTAGTGAAATTCTTCTGATACAGCCAATAGAGTGTCAACGGGCAGCTCATGCCTTAAATTTAATGCATTTATAAAGGGACCATTTTATTTTTTTTACCACTGCTTGACATGAGGCCATCTATCTCATCTGGACTCAGAATGTGCAGGTCGTTCAAAAAGCGTCTCCTGCCCAGGTTTTGGGCTGTTGAGCTTTGAGCCACTGGCTCAATCACATCCTCTGTACTGGCCATTGCACTGTTGTTGCAAGTGCCAGCTGCCCTGGTGAAGAGACAAAAGCAAAGGGAGTTTTACATTTATAGTCTAAAAGTCTGAGAACCTTCTCACCAATAAGCATACATAATGGGCACTACAGTGGCATGAATTAACTAAAGATCAAACAAATGTGAAACTGAGACTAATCTCTTCATACACACCACGGCAGAATGAGATTTTAAAGTCAAAATAAACAATAAAGTCATTCAGTGTCACAGTAAAGGCAAATGCAATAGTGTGTTTCTGTCTATGCTCACATCATTTTCATGTAGTGTAGTAGTTCAGTGGGCTGTTAACTTTCAGCATAACTAAGTTTCACTTAGTTTATCTACATGTAAAAATGTAATGTCTGAAGTCAATACAAAGTGTAAGTCTCTCCTTTATTATCGGAAGCAATATATTTTATACCATGTGTCCATAATAATCGATTGAGAACAAGTAGTGGGGCTTTTTTTAGTATCACTGGTAACTATTACTAATAGTAGCAGGGGTGTGCAGTGGTAGATTATGAACATAAAAATAACACCAATAGATGAAGCAAAAAAAAAGGCAAAACTATCTCTAAAATCAGCAGCCACAGCAGTACTTGCATTAGCTGTGATGGTAATAGTAGCAGCTGAAGTATCAGTTACATTAGCTGTACTGAGTAGTAGCAGTAATAACGACACTAGCTGAAGTAGTAGCAGTTGTTTAAGCAGCAGCGGTACTATAACTGAAGCAGTGTGAGCAAGAATCAGCTGTAATAATACCACAGCAATAAATGGAGAGTGTCTGAGGAGAGTTAGTGAAATAATCAGTACAAGCAGGTTCTTGAAGTTAATCTAATCACTGAGGAATGCGACATAGCACGATCACACAATAGGAATTCAAGTACAACTCAGTATCACAGCAGTGAACAGCAGACTATGCAATGTTAGAAGTAGCACGGTTAAAATGAACAAAAACAAGAGAGCATTCATACACTGCGGGCGCCTTGTAGTGTTTACCTGTTGATCAGGTCATCGGTATTGCGACATATGAGAAGTCTGTGGCGACCAGTGAGAGAAAAGGGTGTGTGTGTGAACCCTTTTGTATAGTGTGTGGGTAGATATCTTTGAATGGCTGAATGTTTCCTGGGCAACGAGGCAAAGTGGAGGGAGGGTGTATGTGTGTGAAGGAAAGAGAGAGGGGGGGAGGGGGGGGAGAGAGAGAGAGAGAGAGAGAGAAAGAACCAAATCTACTTCCTAAAAAAAGACACCTTAGTTTCTCCTACACAATTGGAAGACTGAGCTGTATTCAAATGGTTGCAATCTGCAACTTAACCACTAGATGCCACTGAATCCTACATACTGGACCTTTAAGTGGCAGGAATAACAACAAAGGTCAAGTGATATGACTTCAGTAATCAGTCATTCTGGGATCGTTCATCCTACTCAAATGTGTTTTTCTTTGAAGGTCCTCCTTATAATTTTGTTAAAGCACCCAATGGTGACCACAAACCTAAAAGTTTCCCCCAAGCTCTTTGCTGATGTACAGTAACTAAACATAGTCCGCAGTTTGAAAACATCAATGGTGAGCTGAGGAAGAAGCTTCATGATTTTGGCACTAAAAACCAACACCACTTAGAAACCCAGCACTGTGCAGCACATGCTACTGGTTGTACAAAATATTTGCTTTTTTAATTTACACAATCACAAAGAAGATGTAACAGACAGGAGAAGAGCATTTTTTAAAGATATTTTTGGGGCTTTCTGTGCCTCTATTTGACAGGACAGGCGAGGACACACAGGAAAGGGGGGAGGGGGGACAACACGCAGCAAAGGGGCCGCGGGCCGGAACTGAACTCGGTCCACTGCGGCAAGGACTTAACGCTCCACCAGATGAGCCCCCACGCGCCCTAGGAAAAGAGCATTTAAGCTGAGATAATAGTCTCTGACTCAGTTACAGGAGGCTCTCTTCTACATTTTGTAAATTCAGATAATAATGATTGATTAATACATACAATGCTCATATTCATTACATAGGTTTGTTTTGGGTCACTAGTCGGGTCTATTTGCTGTTTCCACTTCCAATCCTAGATCATTTCAGCCATGTAAGTTGACATTAAACCCTGTCATTTAAATTCCCCTCTCACTGTTTGTTGACACAGATATGTTGGCAAAACAATGAGCTCTCTGGTCTGTTGAGTGCAATGAAGATTTTCCCTGTGTTTACTGATAGATGAACAGATAGCTCATATGTGCCACTAAGCACACATAATGTGCAGTACTCTGGCATGCGGAAAAAAACTAAATACTGACCAATAAAATGTATGAAACAGAGACCAATGTTTTCATACCACAGCAGATTGAGATTATAGAGAGATATGTTTGATTGGCCTTTAAGGAAGAGATGTGTAGGGTTGACTTGACAAGATTTTTTGTTTGCTGGAGTGAAAGTTTTTCTGTACTATTTTTTCAGGCTACATGTGAAATACAACACTACACCCACCCAGAGTCCTCTACAACATGAGCCAAACTGGCCAGAGGGGAGTGCTATTACTGAAAAGCGAGCCACATCTTACACACCAAATAGTCATATGAGCATAAATCTGGATCAGTTAACACTTAATGTTGCCAGCCGCAGAGAGTAATAAGGCCATGAGAGATTTAAAGCCCCTATGTGAAGGATTTGGAGACTTTGGTGACTCCCAGTTGTTTTCATCATAAAAGACACCTGGCTGACACAAGGGGAATGTAGATGGAGACATTTAGAAACACCGGGACACTGAGAATAATCAAGCAACACACAGACACATTTTCATTGGGATTGTCTATTTTCTCTACAAACAAAAACTTACCGCAACAGAATAATTAAAAAGTTGCTATAATCAGATGAAAATACTACACACAATACACCCTGACATCACTGCTGGGTCACAGGGGAAACTGAACACCTCTGACAATACAACACATGTGAAACTTTAACCAGAGGATGTCAGTGAAACAAGGCTATTCATCTCAGTAAAGTCTACATAAAGGATGTTTCTATGCATCTTACCATCACAAAAGTGGCTCAAGTTTACAACTTATTTAGCAGTTTTCCAAATTTACCATGATAAGACAAACACATATCTGAATGTGATCTGATTCATGCATTGTTCTAACTGAAGCACATTACCAGCACCTTCTTTACTACCGATTACAAATGTGTAAATTTAAATAAAATAGCCTCACCTACACAAACGTGTATGTCCTCTTCTATAGGGGGGAGCTATGTTTTGCATATGCTAATTTAGCGTATCTGATCTTGTACTAACAATACAAACATGGGCCCTTTAAAGAGCAAAACACGTGGCACCAGACTCTGAAACATGCAACCAAATGACAGGATCTGAATGTGTGTCATAAATTCCTTCATGACTAAAACAACAGTGCTGAGTCAACTCCTGCTCAGTACAGGGGACCACCGGATTTCCCCAAATTTGCACAGTTAAAATCGCCTAAAATACGGATTCTTCCCGACTGATTCAACAAGCTTTAACCAATTAACGTGAGAGTGAAGTGAACACAGGTTTCATAAAGGTGCTTTAAGACACAGTTTTGAAGAGAAACACGCACTTTCTATTGTGAGAGTTTGGGTGAGGTTTGTAGTAGGGTGTGCTATTGCTTCACCGGAAAAACGTTTTTCTTCATCTTAATATAAAAATGTTTTTAAATGGACACCACCATGGCAACAGTGTATCTTTAAAGTCGTTTTAACACTCCGGACGTCAAGGTACTCTGGCTGTGGAGGCTTCAAATGCTGAAGGCGAAGTTTTGTCGTCTCCACCCATTCCCTGTTTCTTACAGCGGCGCATTACACACACACACACACACACACACACACACACACACACACAAAATACACCTCCATGTACAAAACCACGCCACTAACAGACACCTGGTGGCAACGCCATTTACACATTACACCGACAGTCTCTATGTATTCGTGCCTCGGTGGTGTTAACGATGTTCAACGACAGCTCACACACAGACAGTCAGTCAGTCAGTGAAATATGCGTCCGAGTTAGGCCTACTAAAAGATACTTACTCTGAGTTTCAAACACCACCCCGCCTCAGCACTGCTATTCCACACGTGTGGTAAAAAAGATATCACACACACATTCAGGCTAAAAGTAATGTATCATCGTATTCCTGTATTTTCTTAGAGGAGAGTTCATTTGTGCTCCCCGTAGGTGATGCACACTTTAGTCCCTCCCATCGGGTGTCCAGTGGGACAGTATGGAGGAAAAAAAGGAAATAACTTGAAAATGAGGCGGCTGTGTTACAAAAAACAGGGCTCACACTTTGTCTTCGTATTTTTTAAATCAGATTTGTTTGTGTTTTTTGTCATATTTACGCAGCTGTATAAAGCAGAGCTACATGGCACAGACAGCTGAGTGTTCATGCTGATATAAACATGGGCTTTTTTTTTTTTTTCAAAGGACGAGACATGTTCAGAGACACACGGGGATATTATATTCACACCGATAGGGAGGAGAGGAGTCGTCGGTAAGGACTCAACGTGAATCTCGGACCTTATCACGAGATTCCGGTCAGCGTTTTTCAAAATTAAAAAACATTGATAGCGGAGATATGGCACGAAGAATGGCGTCCAAACACAAAGTTCACATCTTATATGTGGTTTTAGAAGCAGTCTTGTGTTTTGAATTAAGTTATTTCTATTAACTTTATCTAAATACGAGCTTTCTGGGGCTTTTAACGTTGTAGAAAAGCGAGCACACCGGAAGTACACATCGCGTCGTGGCTTCAGGGAGGTTTAACTTTGGTGGTATTTTGGTCTTTTTTTGAGGACAAGATAAATGTATATTTATACAAAAAAATCTACCGATTAGATTAATAATTTATTCATGTATTCACACGTGTAATATTTTTCTCTCCATCACGTAGAGACGAGAGAGAAGCAGGCTGCTCAGTGATGTGATGACTCATGCGAACCTGCCCAGGTTAAATCTGGTGGACAGTGATTTGAATGTGTAGCCCATCAGCCGGTTGCTTAAATTAACATTACTGCAAAGGATTTACGAACCTTTTTACAAAATGGGTGCAGTTTTTCTGCCAGGATGACAAAATAAAGCTCGAGAAAACCAAACCTGTATCACTTAGTTTCAGTTTATATGCAATGGCTGCTTCACATGCTCCCAGAAAGTATAGAAATACTGTGACAGCTGTTTGTATCTTCTTATTTCAGCCTACTTATTTTATTGGACACTTGTTCTCTACACATACTGACTCCAGTTTCTGTACTCATTCTGTACTAATGTTACAACTTGCTGACAACTTGAAATTACCAATATATACTAATACATACATGCATACATCCACATCCAGAGGAAGGGGGTCTCACATAATTTCCTTATTTGGTAACATTTGTTTTTGTGGTGTTTTTCCTTTTTCTCTAAATGAGCGTGTGGGCCTGTAAGAGACATTTTGCATCGAGCTGTACAATAAACTGACTTTATTTTTCAGTGCAAAATTTTAACTGAGGTGGATTAGTAAAATAAAAATCATCACATAAAAGCAGATACTGCCAAATATAAGTACAAACGGAACAACATGATTACAGTTTGAGACCCTCAGATCATTTACAGTTAGATTAAATCAATGTACCAATGTGTGATGTACAAAAGAATGTGTGTCTGCTTTGGTGTAGTGCATTTTCACACCACATGGAGGTGTTCAGCCACCACAACACAACACCAAAAGTCTAACTAGGGATTTAAAAATAATTTATAGCAGTACTCATCACTGATACTGAGTTTATGAATAAATAAAGATTCCAAGTGACTTAAGATGATTAACCTTATGTTTTATTGCACTGAGAATGGAATACATTTATTAAGCATCTATTTGACACATAGATTAAAAAAATACATAACTTTATTCAATGCCTGTATGCCTTTATTTTTCACATGAACATACTGCATAGAGCACAATGCCCACTGATGTACCACAACTAGACATATTGAGAATGAACATGAACTTGAAAAGTTAGACTTTTAGGTTATTAAACAGATTTACATTTTTATAAGGTTGAATTCTTTCAGTTTTGCATCATAATTACACTTTCAGCAGATCGTAGTTACGTTAAGTAGAGGGATAAACACCTTTGAATGCTTATTACAGTTATCTGATCATTTAGTCTCCTCTGGAACATTTTTGAGATGCATATGGTCCACTCAGATGTATGAAAGACTATATACACAACTAGTTTGACACTCAATTCAAGATTAAATGCCTTTTCCTAATTTTATGTGGGTGTATTCACACAACTCACACTTGTAAATAAATTGATTAAACCAGTCACGATGCACAAAATAAAATATTTATTTAAAAAACATGGCACAATGAATCAAGACAATATCCTCCTGAATCATCTACCTCTAACAAGACTTTCTAATAAATAGGTCATAGTAAGAAGAATAAGGCTGTGATTCAGAGTTGGCTGGCTTAAGTTACATGCACAGGCTCTTCACATAAGACATAGTACATGCAGAGGGAACTTAACCAGACTTTAGCAGATATGTTTTGAAGTTATGTATTGAACGAGTGGCAACGTTAGCACACCACATGTAGATAGAATCAGTTTAAAAGTTCATAAACCTTCTTTATTGCTATTTAATGTATACAGGTCTGCACAGTGCATATGGCTCAATGTAATACACAACACAACCATAGCAGTTTTGATTTGATTTTACAGCAGAAATAACTTTCTCAGCATGGTGGTGAATTGGACTGTTTTTATACCACAAAATAGACAAGTAATAATACTTGGTATGATTTTTAGGATGATGATGATGATTTAAAGGATCCAGATCCACCCATTTAAAGTATACATCTGAAGAACTTACACTAAGATGGAGAACTGAGATGCTAGTTTGAAGGAAAACCCTCAGCTGCCTGTGTGCTTGTGTTCACAAAGAGAAGTCAGAGCTGTGAATATGAACACAGACAGATCTGTTGTTTAATCTCTGTTATTAAAGCCCTGCTAACTTGATCCTGAATCTGAACCTGGGACTCAATGAGCAAGAGCGCTCAGCCTTATAGACAGCATGAGGCACAGTGACCCATGGAAAAGTTTCATCAGAGAAAATTTTGGTTTTTTTTTGCTTTGCTTTAACTAGGAATATATTTTTTGGTCTGACCAGGAAATGGAAATTCAGGTGCCCGGTTGAAGTGTCCTGTTAAGAAGATCCCCACTGTGCCGAAGATGAAGAGGAGGATGGCAGCCCAGAAACACACCTTGTCAATCATCTTCCCAATCAGTACCCAGCTTTCAATTTCCTTTATTTGGGAATAAAGTCAAATGAGATTACAGAACTAAGATCAGTTTGCCTAAAACAATTTAAAATATATAGGAAAATATGTAAGTAATAGACACCCAATATATTGAAATTGCACTGAAAACTGTTGGCTAGACAGATAAAGTTTAAAGTAACACTCACAGATCCAATGTTATTCTGTTGTCTTGTACTCTCAGCAATGAAGTTGCAGGCATCCACACATTGCTTGATCTCAGGTGCAGCTTGGGCCAGACTCTTATACAGGTTGGCTGTGCTGCTGACATCTATATTATCCACTAGGGGGAAGGAGACACTAACAGTTAGTGAGTAGTAGGCCACAGTATTATCTGAGGCCGACACAGGCCTCACTGATGGTGATGAGGCAAAATAATATGTTGTGTTGAATGACATACAATACACCTGTACGCACACATGAGTGGCCAATATAACAGATATGAATACATGTGATACAAAGAATCATGTACCATGATTTTTATGCAAAAAATAAATGGAGCACTAACACAACAATTCAATTTAATACACAATTATCAAACTAAGCCACAATACATTCCAATGAAGCTCACCTTGTAGTAGAATGCTAATGACTTGTACTATCTAGGCAAATATTTGAGCTGCAATGTGCGAGCAATGTTTATGTGTTTAAAAAACAATTTGGGGCTTAATGGCAGATTTTAGACCTGGGTCCTACTTTTAAAAATAGACATACCACTTACCAATCGATTGCGTGAGACCATGCTTCTCTCTCTGTTTGTCAAACATCATTTCACTGCGAGGTTGTTTCAGTACATATTCCTCTGCTCTCTGCATGAGGCCAAAGGAGCTGCGCCGCCGCTCCCTCACTCCATTTACCGCTGTTGTCACCTCACTGTCATCCACCAGTGGGGACATACCGAGGAAGCGAGGTACCATTTCCAGGAACACCTAAAGAAGGCAGATAACAGTACTTATTTCACATAAAATAACCCCTAAATAGACATTGGACTAAACTGCACAGGATGTACTCACATGTTTGATTGTATGAGACATGGTATGAGTGTTGGGACTGCGCAGGGAGAAGTTCAGTACCACAATTTGATTTGTAGCAATGAGCGTAGTGACACACATAACAAAGATCAGGTACCTGAGGAAGACATTAGAGAAGATCTGTGTTGGACAGGAGACTCAAACTGAGTGAAGCCAAAACAAAACCCAGCACACACACTGACTCACTTGCCGATGAGAGGGACAGAAAGAGATGTCTCAGGGATCTTCTGAGCAATAAGAAAGAGGAAGACAGTCTGAGCCAGCAAGACAGAGATGGACACAGTCAACTTTTGTCCCCCAGCTGTGAAGGGGACAAGGGAAGAGACAGAGAACAACACAAAATAAAAAAATCATACCAGTTTTTGGGAGCCTATACTTTTAGTTCATTGTCTATGCTCTAATGCTACATAGCATATTTTATTTACATACTTTTATTATACTGTAGTTGTACTATAATGTAATAACATCTGGCTTCAGTTAGGGATAGTGGTGAAACAACACACTGAAAACAAAGTGGTACCAGTGTTTTGTACCTCTTTGTATCTTAGAATGTTCTAAACTGAGCTACATTTTAGAAAAGGTTACTTCTAAATTCTGGTCTTTTTTGTTATGGCCAATATAAGAGTAACTAAATTTGGTAGACTTGGTATTTTATAACATCCCTATAATACTATCCCATTTGAAACAATGATAATCAATGCAATAATAGCTGCCAATGGCTTTACAGACCTTGTGCAGGTAGGAAGTAAGCTAGAACAACCAGTGAGGAGATAAGGGAGCAAGGCAGGATGATGTTGATGATGTAGAAGAGGGGCTTCCTTTGGATGATCAGATTGAATGTGATCTCCTGATATTCAAGGTCATCTGGGGAATACCGTGTGTTG